CCACCATAGTAAATATATTCAAACCTCTCCCATTTTTCCTTCACAAACATCCCTTTATCCATCCGGAATCCAGTTTCTACTGTCACCATCAAATGAACAGTGCTCACCAAGGTCACCTAGCTGACCTGCTGACTGCTGAATCTAACAAGAACTTTCTCATTTTACCTCTTTGCAGCACTGGCAGCCCCTCCCTTCCCCACCCCCACCTCCCTCTGCCCAATCTTGAAGTCCTTTTCTCTTGGCTCTGGTGACACCATACATGCTTTGCGTTTTCTTTCCCTCTTTGCTCCTCCCCTAGTCTCTTTTGAGGTCTCTTCTACTGCCATCCCTTAAATACTGGCATCTCATCCCACCTAGAGTTACAACTTCTGTCTTCTCATCTTTGCACTCTATACATTCCTCCCGAGCGACTGTGTCACTCAGGAACATGTCGTCTGTCAAACCTTTCTGCAGGCCAGCTACTGCTAGTCAACTGGACATCTGTATAGACACCAGGACAGCTCCACTTGGATATCTCACAGGCACTTCAAACCTCACATACTGAAAACAGACCCCAATACTTTCTCTCCCACATCTCTCCCTTCACTTACTTTTCCAATAAATTGGGTGTTTATTATGTGCCAGGTACCATCCTAGAGGCTGAGGATACAGACTAAACAAGACAGACAAGGCCCCTATAAACATAGAGCTCACAGTTCAGGGTGGGAAAGACAGACAATAAACAAACAGGTACAAAAAAGTGAATAAATGCAGAGAATTAAAATGATGTAAAGTGGCAGAGAGTCTGAGGAGACCACTTTACGTTGCATGGTCAGAAAGCCTCTCTGTACAACTGACATGTAAGCTCAATTCTGAATACGAGGGAGCCAACCATAAGACGAGTAGGAGGACAAGCATGTGACGCAGATAGAATGAGTAGGGCAAAGGTCCTCAGGCTGGCCAAAGCTTGGCATTTTCAAGGACCCAAATGCAAACAGTGCACCGGAGCACAGAAGCTACCGGTACATGATGAAGTCAGTGAAGCATACAGGGGCCAGATTATGAAGGGCTTGGGAACTCTTGGTGGGCAATTTAAATGCTAGTGCGATGGAAAGCTGCTAGAGGGTTTTAAGCTCAAAGTGACATAGATCTAATTTGCATTTTAACAGAATCACTTGAGCCGCTTTGTGAGGATGTGAGGATGTCTTATGCTGAATGGGAGTGGGTGTTGTGGTAGGTGTGAGGGGCCAAGCTGGATATGGAGACACCATGTGGGAGGACACTGCTTCATCCAGGTAAGACACCTGTTCCAGCGAATAGCAATCATTCACACAGCTGCCCAAGCAAGAAAGTCTGTATGTTGGCCAGGCGTGGTGGTTCATGTCTGTAATCCTAGCACTTTGGGAGGCCAAGGTGTGAGAATCACTTGTGGTCAGGAGTTCGAGACAAGCCTGGGCAATATAGCAAGACGTATCTCTACAAAAAATTTAAAAATTAGCTGGATGTGGTAGAGTGCACCTATAGTCCCAGCTACTTGGGAGGCTGAGGCAGGTGGATAGCTGGAGCCCAGGAGTTTGAGGGTGTAGTGAACTACGGCCACTACATCTAGCCTGGGCAATGGACTGAGACTCTACCTCAAAAAAAAAAAAATAAATAAATAAAAGAGAAGGAATTCTGTATGTATATCTCATGTTTTCCTTACTTTCATCACTACCAGTATTTTCAATTTTACACCCTAAGCCTCTCTGAAATCCACTTTTCCTCCAATGACTCTACCACCCTAGTGCAGGCCATCATCACCCCCTACCTGGATCTGTGCAATGGCCTCCAGGGTCTCCCTACCTCTAATTCTCTCCTCTGTGAATCAACAGATCTTCGAGAAGAAGAACGCTTACCAAGAAACTCCCCTGTTTAAAACCCTTCAAAGGTTCCTCACTGCCTGCAAGATGACTCCTTGACACAGCTTCAAGTCTCCTGCTTCCTTCTCATCACCCACCCTCTGTCCCTCAAGCATGCTCCTTGAAGAAGGTTGTTCGGTCTGCCTTCTTCTGCCCGGACCCACTAGATGCTCTCAGAACACCCTATGCCTACCCTTGTCATTGCACTTGTCACAAGCAGCGTTGACTTGCGCTCCTTTTCCAATTAGACTAGGCAGCAAAGGTCTAGTTCATGTCGTATTATTAATGCCTGACACTGGGCCCAACACACAGTACCCTCCTCAGTGTCTGCTGTAAGAATGATGGATTCATTTTTATACCGAAAATTCTAAGCAGAGGCCATGGCCTAATAAATAATCTCTGAGTGCGAAAGCTCAGAATAGCAGCTTCATTTCTTCATCCATCTGCTTGTAGTACAGCTTTCTGCCTGGCAACTCCATTCTTTTGGTCAGCAAATACTGCCTCCGTGTCAGGCGCTTGCGGCAAAACCCGAATGAGACACAGTCCCCGCCCCAGATTGCTCTCCTTGCTGCAGCTGGGGAAAGATTTACTGAACGAAAGAGATCATCGTAGACTTCTAGAGAACTCGAGCTTCGGCCCAGGCTACACGTACCGCCAAGGCTCAGGCCGTTCCACCTTCTCCGCCCGAGTCCGGGGACCCCCCCACCGATGCTGATATCCGCTCGGCCTGACCAACACTCTTTGACCTATCCTGGTACTTCTAAGCTTTGGTCACACCTTCTGCTGACTCCTGGCCCTCCCTTCCAATTGTCCCTCACCTCTGACCCTTAAAGACCCGGGATCGCTGGCCTGGGACCCCCTCTGCCCCTCTTCTCTCCGCCCTTTGGCCGCTCTTGATCGTCTTACATTTTCTTGGCCACATCCGTCTCCCGGAACTGCTCCTTCACCATGGTGACGGCTGCCGGGGCGCCTCCTCGGGAGGACAGGCTGGGGAAATGATGCTCCCTACACCTCCCGAGGGTGCTTCTCGAGTCGCGGCTAACACACCCGCAGCATCCTCTCGGCCACCGTAGAGCGCCCCACGTGCCCGCTTCCTCTTCTGCTACTCGCTGCGCGTCTGTCTGCCAAGAGAGACTTCCGGCGCTCCGCGTTGTGCACTCTCCCTACACCGCCATCTGGCGACATTGCCTTGAAACTGCATTAGGACCTGCGCTATATTTTAAAAATCCTATTTCCGGTCCATTTAGCCAGGTCCTGTCAGACACTTGCTGAGAAACTATTAATACATACAACCCTTTGCCTCTAGACTTTTAGACACCTAGAGAGCCAAAAATTGCATAAAATCGAAAACCATCATCAACATCAATACCATCTAAATTAAGAGGCCCTAATTGTTTAAGGGAAGAAGATGGAGGCTGTAATGAACCGGCCATGGAACAGAGGACACCATGCGGACGACAAACAAGGGAAATATGCAGAGCGGAAAACATGGACGCGAATGTGCCTCCAGTTCATAAAGTTATTTTGGGGAAAAAAGAGAATGAAATTTATATTCTTGATTACAAAAACAGAAGTTCAAAATTTATCAGTTTAGAGTGAAAACAGCTATGGTAAGCTACGGAAAGAAAAGGGAAGAATGGGAAGCGAAGATCATTCAATGGATTGAAGAAATAAATTGTTTGCCTACAGTCTGTTACAGCCTGTGGGAAGTGATCCTAGTGTAATATCTTCGCGCATGAAACTGGCAAGGAAACCACACCACCCAGGGCTCAGCGCTGCAGAACCTGGCACTAATTCCTTACTGTTTGTGAAAAACTCTAAACAGAACTTAACAAAGTGGTTCAACACCTCTGAATTTTAAGAAGGGATGCTATCTTATTTCAGATGCCAAGCATCCTTACTTGTAAAGCATATCAGGTTTTACTAACTTATTTCAATACTCAACTACTTATATCTTTGAAGTAACGTTGATAATATTATACCAATAAGATTTCGATTGTGAGTGACTTATCTTCTAGAGGTTAGGAGTGAAAGTTCTGGAATTACAATGCCATTACGGAAGTCTAGGTATCACGCCTTAAAAGTTATGTGTTTAACTTGATTACCTCTGTAAAGAAAAAAACAAACCAAAACAAAAAGATTTTTAAAGAGTTGTGTGACCTTGGGAAAGGTACTTAACCTCATTGTGTTCTAGTTTCCCCATCTATGCAGGGGTAATAGGTACCCTATTTTTTAGAGCTGATGGGAAGGTTAAAGGGCAAAATGAAGGTAAAAGTAACAGGGACATAGCAATCACTCAATGAATATTAACTATTCTTATTCCGAAGAATATGAGAAAGCTGCGCTCAAAGCCTGTGCCCTGGTCTCCTCGTCCACACTAACTTTTGGGAAGTACGTCCTATTTTTTCTCTTTGAACATGCACATTTACGTTTCTTATCTTTCTATATCTGTTGCACTTCTAGCAAAATATTTCTGGATCAACCAGATGTCTATTAAAAGTTAATTTTGTGTAAAAACTAAGAGTTGCAGAAAAAGCCAAAGACTTTTATTTTGAATGAGGCTTTATTTTGAATGAGACCACAGAAGCGTCAAACATAATATTTATGAATAATAAATTAAAACGGGGAGTGTTGTGTACTTGGAATAACAAAGGTTTCGGGTCAGGGTTTCTGCACTTTCCCTAATCTGTAAAACGAGGAGGCTGCCCGGGAGGATCTCCTAAGGTGGCCTCCAGGCTTACCCACCTCTAACTCGAAAGGAAGCAATTTAAACTATCGTTTGGTTTACAGTAATTCCATGTATGTACTATTCAGCGTAATGAATTGAACTGAAATTGAACACGTGCTTGCGTAAACCTAGACCGCCGGAGCTGCTTTGCCTCCTGATTGGCCAGTCCAAAATCCCAGGGGTGTGGCCAAAGGTCAGTGAGGCGGGACCACAGGCATTTTCAACCAGGCATTAGCATGGTCAGCCCTGCGATCCGGGCCACGCCCTCACGTCGGCGCCACCAGGGGTCCTTTCGTGCGCGTTGATATGATTGGCTGGCGAAGAGTGGTTCTCTTTTCCTCCCTGGCTGCTTGAGGGTCGACCGCCATCATGGTGAGTATCCCTGGACCCGTGCAGTCATCGGCCTGGTATCCGAGCCATCCTTCGTTTTCTGATCCTGCCATCTGAGCTACAGCTGCTCGACGCCCCGTTGCTCTTCTCTGGCCGTATCTGGCGCAGGCCAGTTGCCAAGGGCCCTAGGGCCGCTGGCAGGGAGTCAGGGCAGGCCGGCTGCTCTGTCGAGCTGCGCTGCAGACACAGACAGGCTGGGTGTTGATGTCCAGGGCCTGGGCACTGCGAGGGCGGCTGCTGCGCTTGTTGGCCTCGTGGGGCACAGTAGAAGGAGTGGGGGTTAGACCCTAGTAGGCACATTTCTCCTGCAGTCCCAAATTGGGCTAGGCAGGTCGTAGGTGATGGCAGCCAGAGAGGTGAAGAAGGTGCCGGCAGCGCCTGGGCTAGTTGCGGCGCGTGAAACCGTTCCCATGTGTAAGCTAGAAATCTTGTCATCTTAATTAATGGGTCTTGTCGCCCCATATTGCGGAAACTGAGGCCCTGAAAAGGGATACAACCAAAATGTGGTCTTGTTCCCAGTCACTACTTGTTAGCTTCATCATTAAAGGTTCCAGCTCCCGTTTTTAACTCCACCTGCAAGCAATTTTTTTCCCCTCTGATCCTTTATTTTCAAGAATTTCGTACCATCGAGGTGAATTTCATTTAGTGTGGTTTCTCAGAACTGCAGAGGAAAGAAGTCTGGCAAGTCAGTTGTTTCTCTGAAAGTCTCTTACTTTTTGGTAAAATTGTTCTTTTTTTAGTCAGCATAAAATTGCTGAATGCCCATATTGCTTGGTAGTTACTTAATAAAATGCCTTGTTTTGTGGGCTCTAAGGTGGCTATCCAAGAAGGGTAGATTACATAGAGGAAGTGAGTGCAGCCTTAGTGTCAAATTTTGCAAGATGTTATAAACACAATTCTGTGAGTGTAACTTTTATATGAACTTGCAGTAATTTTTATTTCAGAAAAGTGGCTCTTAGTTGAGGGTGAATTTGCCCCTAAGGGAGCGGTTGCTAAAGTCTGGTGACATTTTCGATTGTCAGAACTGGGTGGCATCTAGCGGTTAGAAGCCAGGGAGTCTTATAAATATCTAAAAACGTACAGGACAGTTTCCAAGCAAAGGATTATCTAGACCAAAGTATCAGTAGTGGTGAGGTTGAGAAACTTCCAGAGTGATAGCCGTAACTTAAAAAAGTGAAGTAAGATTTATATATTCACATAAAACTGTTGAGTGTCCTGTGAGTTTGGCATAGTTCTAGGTCTTGGAAAATCACAGCAAGGTTAAGAAAAGGTTGAGTAGTTTTATTAACGAGGGTGTTATGTTTTCAGAACGACACAGTAACTATCCGGACCAGGAAGTTCATGACAAACCGACTACTTCAGAGAAAACAAATGGTGAGGAAGGGCACATCAACATTTGGTTCATTGTTCTTTATTTTAAAGATTCATTTTATTATAAGAAACACTAAATTTGATAATTTCCTTTTAGGTCATCGATGTCCTTCATCCTGGGAAGGCAACAGTACCAAAGACAGAAATTAGGGAGAAACTAGCCAAAATGTACAAGACCACACCAGATGTCATCTTTGTATTTGGTTTCAGAACTCACTTTGGTGGTGGCAAGACGACTGGCTTTGGCATGATTTACGATTCCTTGGATTATGCAAAGAAAAATGAACCCAAACATAGGCTTGCAAGGTTTTTCATTTGTTCAAAAGTTACTGAAGATTTATTTTTTCATTAGCGTTGTGTTGGTGTAGAGTGAGGAAGACCAAGAGGTCTGGGAGGGACAACATACAGACATGAAGAAATCTGAAGGGGTTAAGAGAAAAGGTTATTTGATAAAATGCACAGGTAGAGTGTGGGGGTTCAGAATTGGAGTCTGGCATTTGAAGTGGGTTCAGAGGGCAGATAAAATAGTGCTCATGGAGATGGGCTAGGGGGTGAGGGTCCCTATCCACAGGGGAAGTAGGGGGATGAGTTTGGAAAGGTAGCTTGGCACCAGATTCACTGAGGTCCTTTAATACCGAAAGACTGATTGTGGACGTAATCCCTTAGGTAGCCAGGAAACATGAACGGTGTCGGATCATATGCTAAGTGCCAAGCACTATAGAGTGAACCACAGCAGTGAACAGGGAAGCTCCATAGCTTACATTCTAGTAAACAAACAAACATTATTAGCTTGAAATGCTACCTTTGTATTCCCTTTTAACCTATTTTACTCCCTTCTGTAAATCTTGCCATACAATATCTGTGAAGGAAAATCCTGGTGATATGGTAGATAAATGCCACACTATTTTTTTTTTCTTGAGACAGGGTTTCATTCTTGCCTGGGCTAGAGTGTAGTGGTGTCGTCATAGCTCACTGCAACCTCAAACTTCTGGGCTCAAGCGATCCTCCTGCCTCAGACTCCCAAAGTGCAAGGATTACAGACGTGAGCCCCCGCGCCCAGCCCGCACTATTTTAATTGGGTTCATGTTCTGAGAACGCCTTGCTGAGGAGGTGACATTGAAGCTGAGATCCTTGTAAAGATTTAGAAACAGTCTTCTGTTCCTTTTAGGCAGCAAGAACGGGAAGTGCAAAGGTGGGCAGAGTGCAGGTGTGTAGATTGGAATCTTCGTGGTGGGGAGGGTCAAGATCTTGGTAAAGGCCTCTCTTCATCAGGGAGTGATAGCGAGGTGAAGTGGAAGGAGACCTTGAAGGGAAGCCAGTTGGGAGATGTGTTGTTTTGGTGGTGCAAAAAGAAGAAAAAATAGCTATGGGTTCAAGGCTGGACAATAACAGCTAGTCTTCTGAATTTCCCATTCAGATAGTATCAGGTGGACCATTTGTTTCCTGCGAGGCTATTCTGTACTTTCTCTTCATTCATTTGTTCTATCACAAACAAGTATTAAATGTACTTGAAAGATTTTGGGTTTGGAAAATTGCATTTCTTAAGCTCTGACTTAAGTTTCCCTACCAGGCTGGTAGGTAATGACGAGTTAATACTGGCAAGTCACTGAGATAATATGCCTTTGTCCTTCAGCATGGCCTGTACGAGAAGAAAAAGACATCAAGAAAGCAGCGAAAGGAACGCAAGAACAGAATGAAGAAAGTCAGGGGGACTGCAAAGGCCAATGTTGGTGCTGGCAAAAAGGTATAGTTCATCAAGGAAAACACAAATGTCGATAATTGTAGGTCTTTAGTTTCTAGAAAAGGAGGAGTTTTGTTTTCTTAATAATCTTTCTTAATGTTTTTTCTTTTCCCTCTTATTCTGGATTACAGAAGGTAACATGCTTTGAGACGCTACGTAGCATAGTGTCTTAACACCTCAGTAGAGTAGCTTATCCCAACCCTCACAGAATAGCACGACGTGGGGGCCACATTGGTTCAGTGATCCTAGTGGGTACCTTTCAAGACCTGTCACAAAAAGTTTTCATTTTACTACTCATTGGCATAGCTTGTTACAGGAGGAGCAGATCTTGTTCCCTGGGATTTAACTTATTTTCTTAACATGGACACTGGTTTAAGAAGCAGTTGGACCAATGTGGCCCGTTTTTTCCTGGCACGCTGGAGAGGCAGCAGAGATCTCAGATTGCTTTCCTCTCTGGTTGGCCAAGACCTGTAAATAGTTGAAATAGTTTTTACCTTTTAAATAGTTTGAATGGAATTAAGGTGTTGGGTTGTTAATTTACAAATAATCAAGTGTTCTGTGAACTTTTTTTTTTTGCTTTTCCCCTCTACTTTCTTGGATTTCTTGTTCATCAGAAATGAAGTGTCTAGCAGGTACTGAGATTATGAGCACGGTGTGGGGATGCATCACCTTCACTGAGTTTGCTTTGATGCTTTGCATGTTGGCTTTTGGACGACAGTTTTATAGTGTGGTCTATTACGAGGCCAATGCTATGTTTTAAGATAATATATTACGAACAAAGGAGAAAAACTCTAATCATGTTTATTTTGGAAACTCAAAAATGCATGTTACATGATGAAGTGACTCACTGGAGGAAGGTGGGTGCTCTACCTAACAGACACCTTTTAGCTTCCACTTGGGAGATGTGCATTCCAGGGAATCTCAGATGAAGGAGATGCCTTTAGTTAACACTGGGCTTGGGAAGGGCTCTCATCTGGGAGCAGCTTTTCCCTCTGGAGTCAGGAGACCGGATTATTCTCCAGCAGCTCTGGTAACAGACCAGTCCGTAAAACTTGGCAAAGCCTCTGTCCTAGTGGTAGCCACTCAAAACTGCCTTTTACTGTTTTCATTGTTTCTTATTACTTAAACTCCAATATTCAGCCTGGTGTCTTTTTTTAAATAGAAAGTTTTTTGAGCTATTTGTATAGTCACACCAAAGCTTTTGATAGATATGCTTTTTCCACAAGCATTTGGTCAGAATGGCTCACTACCCTATTTTAAACACATTTTGCACATTGAATGGCCCATGTTTTTAATGTGAAGTGGGCCGAGTGGAGTGGGGGGAGTGGGGTTTTGAAACAGTGGCTGTGGCTCCAGTGACTTCTTTTATAATCAGTCACTCCCTGCGAGGCAGGGCAGTGAACTTCGTATTGCCTGCCCAGGACTGTAATTCCCAGTGCCATGGAGTTAGCAGTAATGAATGAACTGCCAGCAGAGCTACTCACTGCTTAGAACCGCTTCCTGTTTGTGAGCATTGTACCAATTGAGAGACGTTGCAAAGAGTCAGTCAAAATTTGTCTTCTGACCTACGTTTGAAGGATGTCTAACACATGATTCTTTTCTTCATTCAGCCTTTGAGTTCCATGAGTTAGTGCACTCAGCCTTTGAGTCCCACTTGTACAGAGGGGCTGCCTGTGGGGACCTGAGCCATCAACGTTCCTGCTGCAGGTTGAGCTGGTGCATCTCACTAGCACTGCTCTGAAAAGCCAGTTGGAAAATGAATGCATAAATGAGCACATAAATTCTTTGGCTCCGAAAAAAAAAATGCCAGACATAGCTATGTTCCTTTTAATCCTGTTTTATTTAGATGTTAGAATTGGTATTTGTTCTTGCCTTTTGGTTGCAGTATTTTAAACTAAGGCATAAGTAGTCTCATTTGAGGAATAACTACTATTTTTACTTAATCTAAATTGTGCCTCCCTTAAAATACTAATTTGTATTACTTTTGTGGCCGTGAATGGATGGTGTCTTTTAAAGCATTGGACTGAGACAGCTTTTAAAAGACTTGCCTGATGATTTAGAGCAAGGGTCCTTAACCTGTATGAGTTGTGTAGTTATTTCATTATATATTACAACGTAAATGTAATAATAATAGCAATAAAGTGCACAATAAATGTGACACGCTTGAATCATCTGAAACTATCACGCCCCCTCCCTGATCTGTGGAAAAATTGTCTTCCATGAAAATGGTCCCTGGTGCCAAAAAGATCGGGGATGACTGATTTAGAGCCCTTCCACTGAGGTTAAATCAGACTTTAGTCTGTGATGATTCTCAAATCTGACAGTGGGGTTAGTGTGCCCAACCAGAGCAGAGGGGCTGAGGCTCACGTGTGTGTACTTGATCAACATGTAGGCAGTGGCATCCTGGACTGGTACCACATTGGCATAATGATCTCTTCATCGTGAAGTTACCATGCCACCTTGTTTGCATAAGAACCACAGTAATCAGACAAAGTGTTCTCAGAATTGGGAGGAAAAAAATCAATGAGTGTGTCTTAAGGGGTATTCTGTATACAATTGCAAAGAACAAAGTGGTCGTCTTTAAGATACCCTGATTGCATGCACTTAAATGCAGATTATTTTGGAGTTTGAAAAGGGACTATTAATGAAATGTTTCTTTCCCTCTTTCCTCTTTTTCCCTTCCCCGCCACTGATTCAGTGAGCTGGAGATTGGATAACAGGTATAATTCAAGCTTTTGATGTAGATCACTAGACTCCTTAGTTTACTGATGAAGTAGTTTAAAAGTAGATCGTGTGAAATAGATTTAGAAGTAGATATATAAATGCTTTGAAGAGTTGTAATCTGTTAAAATACTAACAGTGACATGGTTTTGTTTTTAAAATTTAGTAATACTTAACCCATTTTTTTGTTTCATTCCTAACTTGAGTCTTTGTAAGTTTTTTTTCTTAATGCTTACATTGTTATGATTACACAAATAACTTGATGTGTTCTAGGTTACTAATATTTGTTCTGCATGAGTGTTGTTTGGAATTCGTTGAAGACTGATTTTTAAGGTATTTTAAAGGCAGTTGCTGACTAACCTTTTTCTCTTGATTGACAGCCGAAGGAGTAAAGATTGTGCAGTGACGTTATCTGCAGCCATCGTGTGGATTTTTCACAAGAAGATTAATAAACTTAAAAACTTTGATGTGTCTCGTTTGAAATATATTTAGTTTTTTGGGGGTGTTAAAAGTTAATCTGCTGTTACTTCTGATTTAAATTCCCTCCCAAGTTCACATATTCCATTAAGCATTCAGTGAAAACTTGGTCTAATGGGGTGGTATTTGTCCTTCCCTTTAATAGCACAATGTCAGGTATAGAGCGTCAGCAGTATATTGGGCTAGTCTGGTGTGCTTCGTGTTAATATTTCCATCAGTGCAGTTGGTTGGTCTCTAAAAGAGACACTTGAATCTGGACCCCTTTTGGTTTTCCTAGACCCCAACTTAGTTCTTGTTATGTTAAAAATTATTTGCTGGCCTCAATAGAAATTAAAATGACTAGATCACATCCTCTTCATTTGCCTTGGAGTAAATAGGACCTGTGGATAGTTATCTGTGTATTGCAGGTTTGTGCTTATGGAGCAAGTGAGTATTGTCTGAGTCGGGGATTTGAAGGAGCCTCCAGTCCAGTGAATGTTTGGGTGTAGTGTATAATTGTCTGGTAAATAAGCCATCCGTATGTGATTTTTGTGACTATAGATGGCCATCTGTGTGCTATTTCTTTGCCACATGCTGATTCTTAGGCTGTCTCATTCAGAACTAAAGGCCTGGCTGGGCGTGGTGGCTCACGCCTGTAATCCTAGCTCTCTGGGAGGCCGAGGTGGGCGGATTGTTTGAGCTCAGGAGTTCGAGACCAGCCTGAGCAAGAG